CACACACACACACACACACACACACATACACACAGACACACAAACACACACACTACCGGGTCTGGGCGCTGAAACCCTCCGAAATCACAAAAGAGTTCCCCTACCGGGTCTGTATACTTTGTGACTTTGTTCCCGGTTACCGGGTCTGTATACACTTCGTTAAATAAAACATTCTAAGCCCGACGTCTATGGCGTAGCGTTCAGTGCTGGAATCCGATTCTCTAGTGGGGAGACAATTTTTCCAGTATCTCCACGTTTTGTCAGGATAAGATATACCCCTCAGTCTGGGCTGGCCCTGACAGGCAAGGTCGGAGGCCCCGCTCCTGTAATGATCTAAATTTTGTCAATGGGGCCGTAAAAACACCTACAATAAAAAAAACCCATTCTAAAACATCATGGTAAACAGAAGTCGTTGGTTCTCGTGGCCTAGAGGTTAAGGTGTTGGCCTCTCATTCAAAGGTCCCGGGTTCGAATCCGGGTAGCGACCGAAACATTTTCTTCTTTAAAATAGACTCCTTTCACCTAATTTCCTGCTCTCTAGCAATGTTCTGTTGTCTGCTTTCATTTCCACTTTCTGCCCCCACCCCCTCACATCCTTTGCTCCCTCCTCTGGGCTCCTGACTCTTTCTGCAGCCTTTCTACTGCTACTCCTTGGCTCCTCCTTACTGCTGTCTTTCTGCCACACCCCCTGATCTTCTGGTAAGAAAGATCTACACCTAGCCTCCTCTGACAAGGGCGAAAAATCTCGGAGGGCCCGTGTGCAAGTTGCGCACGTTAAAGATCCCTTGGTGGTCTAAAATCGGTTGGAGTAGGCTTCGGCCGCCACCCGGGCAAAATTCAAAATTTCCTACCAACTGAAAATATTAGGTGTGTCCCGCGGGCTCATATGACCTTGTGCAGTTGCGAGCGCCGTAAAACACTTACCCCCCCCCAAAAAAAACAACAACAAAAAAACCCCAAGAAGTCGTTCAATCTATGAACGTTCTAAAACTGCAGAATACGGTCAGTGGCAATATGTCAAGAGTGAATCGATTATTTATGGGTTCTGGAGAAAACATGAGTTTGTGGACGCGATTAATGGACATTAAGACAGAGTGGTTCCCCAGGAACTAGAGCGGAGTAGTGGGGAGAGCTCCTTAAACATCTGACTTGTCTCCCTTCTACGTACATCACCCCGCCCCCGCCCCCTCCCTCAACTGCCACCAAACTCACATTCTCTCCCCCCCTCCCCCCTCCTTTCTCTCTATTTCTCCCCCTCTGCCCACACATAGTATATGTACCCATCTCAGGAAGTTAGTGTCCATTAATTTGCGATGTCAGTAGATGATGATGTCCCCGCATTCAACATAAACATCCAGAAAAATTCCCAACAGCCAAGAAACGGCCATCTTCCCAACCTCACCCCTCCCCACCCTCCCTCACTTTTACAAAAACAACACCTACCTCCTCCAACCACCCCTCTCCTCTTTTCCCCCCCTTTCCCAAAACTATAAACTCACCGAGAATATGACGTTTTAAAAGTTGACCTAACTCATAACTGCAAACATTCAATTCCCGGGAAGACCCGCTAATGGAGAGGGGACGCCATTATTAATGAACAAACCCTGATTACTGCGCGTCAACGCCAGTCGTTACACAAAAGCAGAGCTGTACGTTAGTTTCGGCGCTAATCATGGAATCTCAGGAGCCCAGTTTGACACAGGGAAGCTACTTCACGACCATAAGGTTTGAGGGGGTATCCACGGATCGAAAAGAAATCTAGATCGACAGAGGAACTCACTACGTATGACTTTTTGCTTCAGAGACTAGCCTTCACTTCATCCC